TGCACAGGGAGCAGGTCGTGCGCGATAGAAATTTTAGGTCGCAAATCCATAACTCCTGTTTACGTGGACCTAGAGCGTTCACATTTGCTAGGATCACACTTTCCGTATTACCAGTGGAACCACAGCGTTCTAATAGGTGATGCAGGATATGACGGGATCGTAGGGACTCGGTGCCAGGAGCTGATGATAACTGATAAGAGAAGATAAAGGACCTAAAAGTGCCCCTACCGACCGAAATCCTAACATCTTCGGTATCTACGATGTAGCTTTGACCGTTCAGTATGTTTCATTTGATAAGACGATATGGTAGAAAAGGGTGACAAAAGTGATTGGTAAGCGCAGCGATAGGGACCCATTAGGGCAACACGATAAGCGGCTTAGAACTTTGTTCATTTCTAACTGTCAGATTACGACCGCTACCCAGCAAGGTTTGTGATTCAATGAAGGATCCTCTTTGCTCGATGTCATTTGCGACAAAACTTATTCGACCGCCTGTAATCTAGAATTTTCAACAAATGATATCTTCGTAAAGAAAAGGGTCCATTGATAAAACATATCTGATAAAGGTGCTATCATCCTAAGAACATCTCCACAGCATCATCTTTGATTGTCTAACAGTTAGGTTTTTGATGGGCACTTATTGCAAAGATAGAGAGCAAAAATTCGAGACTACAATCGAAGGCGTACGCACCGACTTTAACTGATTACCATCTGCACTTCCCTGTTAGTCCTGTGTCAAATTTCGTGTACAGGAAACTGCCATTTGTTCCAAAAAAGGAGTGGGGAATTATACTTACTACAACTATCAAAGAAAGAGGAAAGGTTTCAATTTCTGTTGTATCAAAGAAGGATTTCGAGCTCTGTTTCAGTTCCATACCCTTACTCAGCTAAACACGGAAAACAACCTATAGACGATAAACTTCGAAAAGGGGAATAAAATTCTTCAGCTCAACGTTTCTCGCGTTAGGGTGTTTGACACAAGAAGGAGGAGAGCCTGGCGTTAGCCGGGCGATCCGACTGGTACTGAAATAAACTGCTAGACCATCTAAGAGCTATGACTACACTCATATTCGAGATAGGTCGAAGCAGAAGAACTCTGGAACCTTCTGCTTCGACCCAAGGCGTGTCCCGAGCATTAGTTGCGTGAATCATCGATTAAGGACCCCAAGTATAAGATGACGACTGGCAATCGACTTATCAGTACAGCGTATTCTGGCAAATCAATCATCAAAGGGCGCTAGAAGGAACATATGATACGGGATTAAACAATTTCCTTTGGCTTCGTTCAGCTCGAATTTCAGGCCTACAAAGAGAGAACAATTATTAGCGAAAAACAGGGAGAAGAACTCAGTCTCTACCTTCATTTGCAAGTCAGGATGTGCTGTTTGGTATATAACGATTTTTTCCTGGCATAACACTGCTGGTTTTATCAGTTATCGAGTTTTTTTTTCGAAGGGTTGTTTTCCATCAGAGTTTGAAGTGCCAAGGCATGACAACTTTCGCAGATGAGGCTTTCCGTTCTAACGTGTTTTGCCGTTCTTTCCGTAGCAGCATCATTTTCCGTACCGCACAAATTTTTAGAGAGCGGCAGTAATGACTTGATTGAAGACGAATCAGGGAATGACGGGCATACTCTTTGTTGCGGACTCATGTAGTCAGATGTGACATTAACTAAAAACATGACGCCGGGCTGTGTAGAAAAAAATTCAGATATATGTGAAGTGGTGTCAAAACACAATGTTCAGGTTAGGAAGTAGGCGAGAGAAGTCGCCATACTTAGGATTTCGGATTAACAAAATTTTAAACACTGACAGGATTATCATGTTTAGTTTTATTAGAAAAGACAATGGGATGCAACTCGTTGACCCTATTATTTTTTTTACCGAAAGGCTTATTGGTCACTGAAAACAGCTTCCACTATGCGTATCTTGCGTTGTGTTCCATCAAAATTTCTTGTGTTTCTGGTGACGTTTTTGTTTTTTAGGCTTTTCTTCTCCTAACCTGTGCTCTGGAACTGGTGCTTCCATATCACCAACACCTCCATTTGTTCCTGGCTTCGTCGGTATTGCATATCCTCCACCGCCACCTTACTCTGCTCTACCTCATTGTGGCTCTACAGCTTTTCCGCAGAACTATCAACACTTCTCAGTTGCTGCGTCGTTTCCCAACTCTACAGTGACAAATGGTAGGTCGTTCCGTCCGCTATACCTTGCTCTGACTTGAAGTGGCTGTTTGTGTTATGCTCCATTTCTTTCATCTGTCTATTGAAGAATACCTATTAATGCCAACAGTTTATGAAGAGAAGGTTGAGAGTGAACTTGAAGTCGGCGCTATCGTATTAAGCTCTCTGACATCTTTTACTTACACGGAGAGCAGCTAATTTGTACCTGAGTGTAACCTGCAATTAGAGGGCAAGATGGGTTTGTTTCATCAGTGAACCAGTCCTTTTTTCTGAAATGTGCTGCCCTATGCCTTGACCATTTCTGCTAAATATGTGAGGTATGCCAAACTTGTGAAGTCTTATTCATTGCCATTCGTGTTTTAAGCTGAGGCAGACAGTTTAATCTATCGAGTTGATGCATAATTATTGCGGATTTTTTGTCTTTTTTCCTTTATAAGTTTGAAGCTTGAATGCGGGATTTTCGTAGAAATAATCTACCAGAAAATCCGTTTGGAAAATCATATTCGTATTTGCCACATTATGCTCTATCACTTCGAGAGAGGTTGTAAAACGGCTTAGTCTTTCCGCGATCTCAACAAATCCTTCGTCCTTCGAACAACCAGCCAAAGCCAAGTTTAAAGATGGTTTAGGGAGTTCAGGCGACACAACTCTGAAAACGAGAAAGGAAGAAGACCATCACCGGATTTCAACGACTAGGCCCTTCTAGCGGTCGTGGATGAAGGTAAAGCCAGATAACACGAATGCTAACCGCTGACTCCAATGCCAACCAGTCGACGGTCGTCCACCGTCTCAAAAAGGTCAAAAAGTTGTGGGAATTGGCTGAGTGGGTAGTCCAGGAACTTTCCGACAGCAACAAAGCAGAACGTATATGCATTTTCACTGATTTGTAACGTTGAGATGGGATCGGCTCCTACATTCTTATTCATCAAAGGAGCTCCTACGGGCTAACACGCTGATCATTCATTGGGAAACTGGCTAGCGAATGAAACTTAACTGGATAACTTGGGGGCCGATGACGAAGGGTGGGTTGCCTCTACGAATCAAAACCCACTCCGGAGATTTGGCCGCATTTCTTCTATTACCTCTGACCACTTTTTTCCCACGTTCTGGAACGTTTTTGAACGGCGTAATAAATTTTTGATCTACTCTGCACCCATATCGCGCAAATCCCGCCCATTCTGGAAATTATCCACATTCCTTGTATTGCCACTGGCCACGTTTTCCCGCATTCTAGAATGTTACTGAACAGAGATAGATACAGCACAAAGATATTTGATCTTAGCCGTTTGTGAACAGCGATGAAATATTTCGTTTTAGTCCCTAAGTGCCAAACCACGCCCACTTCAGAAATCTGGTAACATACCTTCTGTTGAGGATTTATATATACTTTTACAGGGTGTCTTAAAATAATGGGCGCCAATTCATGGCAACGTCTTTAAAGCTTCCCAGATGAGAATTACAATGGAGTATATACGTTTGCTCACATCATGTGCTACAACGTGCTGCAGTCACATTTCAGAATATTCCCAATGAGCGTGGACACAGGTCCAAAGTTTGCTCTCAAACACCTCGCATGTTGCACGCAGTTATCCTCCTCCATTTCTTCCGAACCTTTTTTGAGTTTTGCTTTCTAGGACTCTCAATTGGGGCTGAAAACTCGACAGGTACTCTTATAATCAGGCACCATATGGAGTAGTCAAAGGAGTTAAGATCTGGAAAGCGGGATGGCTATCCCTCTTTGCTAGTGAACTTGTGTAGCTAACGTCGACACCACTTCCGGGCAAGTTTGGCTCTGTTGGAGGGAGTACCATCCTGATGATAGGACTGCGAGCTGCTTCAGGAAGCGGGGTTGGACCATTCCTTCATACGTCCTTCAGTATGCTCGTTGAGCACAGGTCTTTTCTAATTCTCAGAAGGCACCGACGACCACGAGCGTCTTACCCTTGCCAGTGACTCCCTTAAGAAACATCATTTTCCTGTTCTTATAGCAGCTTTTCTGTGAGAGAATGCACGTTCGATAACTTTATACGGATACCATTATTTTTTGAGGAATGGTTTTTTTCGTAAAGTATTTCGAGTTAGAGGAAACGATGCAAGGATGCGTATCTCGAGCGAACCAACAACCTGCATTTTTTCACCCTACACTGTTGGTTGTGAACGGAAATGAAGTGGGATTTTTGCATGTGATATTAATGGCAATCATGCTCCTGCATGACATTCTTCCATCGCGGTAGCTCGGATAAGCAGTGCCCGTTGACTTCCTTTTGACGTGTCACCCAGGATCACGACCGACTGGCAGACGGACCATTTTAATAGTCCTATCTTAAGAAACATTATCCTTTCTACCTCTTCCTGGTTTGTCCCTGATACAATCTTTTTTCCAGATCCCTTAATAGCCTCCTATACGGTTGTTATAAAAATCCCAAGGAATTTCATAATGCCCTTCCACCTCTCACATGCCAGTGATTGCAAGGCGCTTCGAGTAAACCTCCTCCATCTGAGAGACATTGGGAGTTTCCCTTCAGTAACCATTTATTTTGCAAGGAAACCCTCTTATGCAACTAATTCATAACGTGTGAAGGGGAATTCGATAAATAACTCCAGCCTGAGTAGTTTCTGAATTTGGTGCTCATAATTTTGAGACACCCTGTGCATATGTATGTGTATAGTACATAATGTAAGTAAACAAATTTTTTTCACAAGCATCCAAGTGAGTTAAGATCTTTCAAGCAGTTGGCTTCCTCTGCGCAAATGATTTCGGGCAACGCGATGCGCACTACTCTTATTGTTAGACAAAATCGGTTCTGTGGCTGGAGTGCTGTTTTGCTGAAAATGACTATGGGCGCTTTTGGGGAGCGAAATCGCTCAAAGCTTCGGTATGTCCATAAGTATATTCTCTAAGTATCGTCTTTGTCGATTTTCAGCCCGGTACCGTCGAAACCAATGGCGTTTAACAATTGCCATGAATCCCTATCTGATCAGTCAGTTTGCTATTTTTGCGCAGGGGACAGCGCTTCGCCGTTCTTTTTTCGCAGGAGCCCGAACGCGATCGTCTACCGTGTTTACGATTGATACTATTGTAGAAAATGTTTCGCCGGGAGAAACAATGGAGGGATTCATGTCACCATTAGTTCGGGTCAGCAACCTGAGCATTTTTTGATCTTTTATCTAGTGGAATCGGAGATGAAGTGACATTCATGCATGTGATTGAAATGGCAAAGTAAGTTTGTTAATCAGCACCATCAACGGCTTCGATGCGTCGAGCATCGTTACTATCCTTCTGATGGTTTGTCTTCGATTATGACCGACCAGCCAACGGGCTCTGTTAATAGCCTCATTCTTGGAAACACTGAGCTCTAGCTTTACCAGATTTGTTTCTGATTCAATCGGCTTCTCTAAATGGCCTAATCGGCTTTTGTACGTTCTTGACTGAAATCTCAAAAAGATCTACAATGTTCTCCTACCTCTTGCACCCCGAATTTTTGCGGGTCACATTACATGAGCCTTCGTTATCCAGTCTAGATAGTGATCCACATAGTCTTATCTCGTTAAGACTGCCAGAAAACCTTTCTGTTCATGTAATTGGTTGAGAATCAAGTGAAAATTGACTCATTTTTTCTCGGAAACTTTTTGAGTATGGGTGCCAATAGTTTTGGAAGATTTTGTTTCGCACTCACTGCATTGGGGTGTGTATGGGCACGTTCAACTGCGTTTGGCTGGAAGTTTATAAAGTTTGTTTTAGTTAACGAAGAACATTTATTTGGAAGGTATACAAGAGGCAGGATGGGTACACTGCTTGTTAGACTGAAGTGTTACTTATTGATGAGGAGCGAATAGAGATGCGATATTGTTCGGGATCATTGATGGTCGATGACAAGGACTAAAAACATCCAATAAGAACTGGTAACTGTCATTTATTGACAACTCCTCGTCATTGTTGGATAGGTGACCACTAAATTGCAAGTAACGGATAACGGAGATTATGAACGCCTAGTATAAGGCTGAGTTATCGGTACAAGATGGGCTAATGAGTTATAGGTACAACGATAAGGTTCAATGAAAGTTCGTCCCTTGTAGGAAGGGTTATCTTGATTTATTCCTCGTCGTTAAATTACACCTCGACGGCTTGCGACTGAAGGAACTGCGTATTCGATATCGGTCGCCAAGACCAACTCGACATTCAATAGAGAATTTTGGCAAGTGGTTCATGTGGTGAATACCAGTCGGGCCGCCCGGCTAACGCTGGGCTTCTTTTTATGGTGTCGCCCGGCTTCGCCGGGCGGTCCTCCTTCCTGTAAGAAATTTGCTGTGTATAAATAACTCTTCGGATTCTCATGTTTCCTTGAAAGCTCTACACCCTCATGATTAGCTCCGAATTGGGAGCTATTTTTTCTGTAAGCCATCTTCGCTGTGTCCGGTAAGAACACCGTTTAATATCACAAAGACGACTATTCTGAGAGAGAAAAGGACATTTTGGCTAAGGAAGCATACCTACGTGAAATTTTCGTGCAATTGGAATACTTTGAACAGCCTATGGCCAAATTGTCAATTTTCGCGCAAACCCCGCCCCTGCGGACGGAGCCTGGTCTTGCCACCTACAGTGAGTGTTCCTATCCTGTTCCCATCTCCTACCAAATTTGAACGTTCTAGGATCACGGGGAAAGGAGCTGTAAATTTTTGCACAAACCCCGCCCATTGTGGGCGGAGTCTGACCCTGCACATACCGCAAGTGTTCTGACCCTGCCGCCCGTACTCTTACCGAGTTTGAGTGCTCTAGGATCACGGGAACATGAGTTCTGAATTTTCGCTCGAAAATTTATTTCTCACTGACCAGCCCTCTTTGTGCGGGGTCCGGTCCTGCAACCCACTAAAAGTGTTCCCACCCTGCCGCCTGTACTCCTACCAAATTTGAATGGTTTCGGTCAAAGGGGACAGGAGTTATGAATTTAGGGTCAGACACACACACACACACACAAACACCAACAGACACAGCTAGCCGATTATATAAGTAGGATGGGCTTCTGATATAGTGGTGTCATCATTCGTTCGTCGCCCATTGTTAGGTACCAAATAAGGCCTTGATCTACTGGGCAAGTTGCTCAGTTGCGGAATAGTTGGTGAGTAGAACCAACGGAAAGAGTACTAAATTATTGATGAACCAGGCGGCTACGCACGCTCTCGCGCGCGCTAGGGGCTCTAGCCATGAGAGACGGAGCCGCATGAGCTGATTTTCATTATAGACCTTTATCGGATTTATGAGTTTTCGCTCAAACCCCGCCTCCTGTGGGCGGAGTCTGGTTCTACCACCCACCATAAGTTTCCCCATCGTGGTTTCTGTACTCCTACCAAGTTTGAACTTTCTAGGTCCATTGGGACAGAATTATGAATTTTCACCCAAACCCCGCCCATTGTGGGCGGAGTCCGGTGTTGCCACCCACTATAGGTGTTCCCATCATGTCGCCAGTACCCCTACCAAATTTGGACTTTCTAGGTTCATGGGGANGAATTTCCGCACAAACCACGCCCCTTATGGGAGGAGTCGGGTTCTGCCACCCACCATGAGTTTTGCCTCCTGTACCCCTACCAAATTTGAACTCTCTACGTCCATGGGAACCGGAATTATGGATTTTCGTATATAAATGTAAGAAGGGACGTGAGCTTCGAGGCACGCTCCGCCCATTGTGGGCGGGCCTCCACTGACGTCATTTATGCTGGAGATACCTTCGACAATACCTCTCCTATATCAACTTTTTCCTGCTCTGTTGACTTTCTCCGAACCGAGTTATAAATGTTCTCATAAGGTATTGCATTTTTGGAGAACGCCCCGCCCATCGGGGGTGGGTCTCCCCAGTTCGATCTAACTTACCAATGACTAACTCCTCTCAAGCCACCTTCAAACCCCAGTTTTGAAGTCGTCTTATGACTGAATTTGAAATCATGGTCCTCGGTAGGGCTCATTTCGAGGCACGCCACGCCCACTGTGGGCGGGGCTCCGCCAAGCTGATGTGTATTTTATACTTCTCGAGACCTGGCCCACCCATCCCACACTTGACCCGGCCTCTCCAGGCAGATCTAAAGGAGCTAAGGAATTTCGTGACAGACATACAGACAGACAGACGGACAGACGAACAGACTAAGCGCTTTATATAGTAAGTAAGTAGGATGCTTTTTCGTGATCGTAAGCGATTAAGGGACCCTCCCTCCCCTCATGCCTCCCCGTGTCGAGGGTGTAGTACTAGCATGATAGGGGTCAAGGGGAATCGCCCAGTCATGCTTATTACGTTGGTTGGATATTTTGTGGTGAGAAATTGGCCAGTTGTCCCAAATAGTGTGTGGAGGTAAACCGCCCATGCATTATCACGTACATTTGATTCTTCAACTCATATTCACAGATTGTTACACTTCGTAGGCCACATCTTCCTTTGCTCGAGGATGCTCCTTATGAATACACAGAATGGCGCGATGAGAAAACCTTCATAGCGTTTTCAAAAATTCATACAACGGATTATACAAATTAGAGATTATGATTTCAAATTGCACGCAACAAAAGGATTCGATCTTCCAATTTTGTTATTATTATTATTTTTACTTCTTTTTTGTTTTTTATTCTCTAGCGCTCAAATTTTAGACGAAATGGCCACAACCTCGCAAGCACCTTTCCCGCCTCCGGAGCTAAAAGGGACTTATGGAAAGAGAGACAACAAAAGTAGACAAAGCAGAAAGAAAAAAAAGAAAAAGAGACGGTTCTTATTCATTTTCATTGAGCTCTTCGACGCTTAGTTTTAATCTCTGAGCGTGTTTGTTCTCTCTTTACATGCACCGATGCTCTCATGTCATCTGTTTTAGGCACTCTTCAGACTCGTCGTCGAGCGGTTCGAGTTCGAGTTCTTCATTGAACGTGGGTGAATACTTGCGTGTGGAGAAAAAGGAGATGAGGTTAACATTTTTTCAGTTACCTCTTCCTTTGTTGCAAATGTTGTGCTCTTTTTCGGAAGCTCCTTTCATGTTACTAGCCCCCAATGTTTTTTCATTTTGATATAGTCCGTTGTTTGTTTTCAGTACCAAGTACATCTCGCGAGAACGTGAAGGTCTTGAGAAAACTATTGTTGAGGAAATCAAAACAGTCACAAAGAAGAAAAAATACAGAGTCTCAGAGCCGAAGCGAAGTGACACGAAAGTGAATTGAAAAATTCCTATTTGCACGTTTCTATGCTAATGACTAATGCTTGATTTTGGCAGGGCTCGGGACTGCAGATGGTCAGCAGCGATGAATCTGTTGAAAACTGTAATGTTGCTGAGATTGACGGTGGTAAGAACAAGAAGTAAGTCTGTTAAGGATGATAGGGATTTCAAGGGAATGAAATCGAAGAGTAGCTTGCATAACTGAAACCTAATGCCGAGATATAGGATAAAGAATAAAGTTCTTGGCGTTAATCAATCCCGTCTGAGTGATGCGCCCCTGCAGTAGACCTTCATTCAGAATCGTAGTGACGTAATGAATGCGTATGTGGCATCTACAATGACTTGCGGTGACCAGATAATGTACAAATTAGTGCTTTCATCCTGCTAGACGAGTCTGGTACCAATTACCCCGGAGACAAGCAAGGTTTCGATAGCCGGGGAGATCGAGTCGGGATACGAAGCCGTGACCATGTGTGCGAAAGTCGCCACTTGCCTCTATACCACTTCCGCCTAGTGCCGAGATATGTTCACTAAATGTTGTTGCCAAACAAGTTTGCTAGTTGGAAGCTTCTTTTTTGCCGACATACATATATCTCGTACATCCTTCTTCAGCTTCTTCGCTGTGTCGTAGATGTGACGGGTTGTAGGAGACGTCATAAGCCTTCCCGCTTTTGACGTGGTGTAATCGCGGCGCGGCAGTCAGCACCGCGCATGCGTTAAGCGCGGTAGAATCGTTGTTATTTATACGACCGTTATATGCAAATCAATGCCTTGAACAACCCCGTGATTCTAAAGTGTGATGAGGACAGCTGTGCATGCGGTGTGAACTAGAGAGCGCCGTTTCGGCGAAGTAGGAGAGGGGCAGTACAGTCCTAAATGCGCTACTGATGTGTCTGATAAAGGTTGCACCAAACGATCGCCCTCCCTCAGAAACAAAGTACCTTTGGCTCTGTACAACCGGTGGCAAGGGTTAGGCCTATAAATGTTCTGTGGCAAGATAAATCAATCCTTTTTCAAAAACGTCTCTAGGATTGCTACGCCTGGGAAAAGTGGTGATAAGGAGAAGAAATTCGAGGTGCACCGTTGGAGCAGCAGCTCCACTGAGTCTGATGGAGAGCAGTTACATAGAAAGGATAAGGTATACATAGTTATAGTTACATTTCTCTTGCTTTTCGGTGTAGATTGCTTTGTTCTTCATCAAATCAATTAATTTGTTTTTCTCCATTATAGACGACAGAGAGGTCATCGAGTTCCCACCAGGATTTCATATCCCATCCTCCTGCGCCGTTGATAATACCACCGCCCCCTCCACCAAGTGTATTCACTAGTCCCAGCTATGTAACCACCCAATCGCAACCTCATGTGGGAAATGGACCGTCGAAAGCCTGTCTCCCTCATCTCGAGAATAAGCCTATACCCTATCCTACTGGGCCAGTCACGCTTTTACCGACACATCTACCTCCTCCTTCGTTTCCCATTGTGCATGTAAGTTTCTTTATGGACGTTTCCTTCGTTGTTGTTTCATTGATTTCTTTCTTTGTAGATGAATCACCCTATTGTGGCACCTCCACCCTTCAATCCTCGTTTGCCTCCCCCAGGATTTCCCGTTCATCAAGCTCACAGTTACCCTAAAGTGAGCCCAGAAAGTTTGCTTCAATTTTCTGTATATGATCCAGAAACCCAAACACTGTGTTTCAGCGGGAACTTCCAAAGGTGGCTTTGCGCTTTGTCGAGGATTCTCCTTCACGTCCAACCTCGTCGTGTGCGCCATTACAACAAACTCTTGCTGATCGAGTTGCTAGCATCTTCGGTAGCGATGCACCCATGGGCTCATCAAACAGCGTTCAGAAAGGATGTGTTACTCCTCAAAGAGCCGCGTAGGCAACTTTACAATTTTTCTAATGAATTCCTTGCGATACGGCAAATCTGTTTAATTTTCAGATCAACTAACCTCACTTGTGACGATGTAGACGATATGGATGTTGACATCGGTTCTTCGGTATCCCCTGTTCCTAAAGCATCGACTTACCAAAGTCCTGTAGAAACTATGCATTCAAAAGCTAAACGCAGGAAAAGGGAGCGGACAGGACGCAACAGAACATCTAATAAGGATAAGGTATTGCTGCTTTTTTACGCTCTGACCTTTTCATTTCTATCTTTTCACTTCTGAAAATTGATTTACAAATTTGAGAATGGAAAAAGCCTACATCGAGTTGTTTTGTGACAAATAGACCATCACCATCTAAATTTGTTCGCAGTGCCATTTGTTTCCCCGCAGCGTCCAATCCGAATTTATATTTTTCATTGATTAGAGAATCCGTGCAGACAGTCAAGAATACAGGTTGTCCCAAAACCATGGGCGCCCAAATTCAGAAATTTCTGGGTAAAAAATATTCTATCAAATTCACATTACCTGCTATTAATTGCATAAGAATGTTTTCCTGCAATATGCATGGTTGCTGATGTGAAACTCCCAATATCTTTTAGATGGAGAAGGCTCATTCAATGCCACTTGCAATCATTGGCACGCAAGAGGTGGAAGGGCATTATGAAATTCCTTGGAATTTTTATGATATTCGTAGAGGAAGCTGATAAACGATACAGAAAAAAGATTGAATCGGAGAGAAACCAGGAAAGGTAGAAAGGCGAATGTTTCTAAAGATAGGATATTAACCCATTGACGATTGCGCGCGTTTTGGATTTTTCGGCCGCGTGGGACATGAGCGTTTTGACGGGCGCATGCGCGTCAAGATGTCCCACGAGGTGCACTTTTTGGAAGCCAAAGCTGAGAGGCAACATCAAAAGCGTGTTATGTTGGTTAATGAAAAGAGTAGTCGACAAGGTGGTGCTCTGCTTGTCTGCTCCCTCTTAGCGATATAGAAACAGCTTTGATGCACATTTAAAGCAAAAACAGGAAATTGTCACCTAGAGGCCAGAAGGCTGTAGGAAAGGGAGAACTGGGGGTAGCAAGAAATCTTGCTTGCTGTTAGTAAAACCTAGAATATGTGAATTTCTACTGCCTAGCTAAGACAAGTGCAGACAAGTCGTGCACCACNGATATAGAAACAGCTTTGATGCACATTTAAAGCAAAAACAGGAAATTGTCACCTAGAGGCCAGAAGGCTGTAGGAAAGGGAGAACTAGGGGTAGCAAGAAATCTTGCTTGCTGTTAGTAAAACCTAGAATATGTGAATTTCTACTGCCTAGCTAAGACAAGTGCAGACAAGTCGTGCACCACATAGTCGCATGGCCAATTGCAAATTCTTATAACATCAACGACAAGGGAACATCTCGAAAGCAACAACTAAAATGGCTGGAGTTGTAAACGCTTGGAAGCTTTACAGAGATGTGGTGAAGAATATCAGGATTGATGGCTTCGAATTAGTAGTGGTCCAATGTCTGTTAAATGTTGATTATGGCTACACTTCGAGTTATCATTGTCACTCCATGCGACATGTGTAGGAGGAGATACCGAGAGTTCTAAAAGGATTCAACAGGATGAGGAGTGTAGAGTGTTACGCAGCAATGTCCAAAGAGCAAGGATTTGCTAGGGCATCAAAAAAACAAAAAGGGTCAACACACGTTGCAGTAGGTTCAGGAAATTAATTTGGATTGATTGTTTCGATGAAAACACAAGTGTCGTCGCGTAAAAACGTAATCTTTTGATGTTGTTGTGCCTTGTTACTAATTACTTATGATTAATTCTATGATTTATTTATGTGTTTGTCCTGAAAAAGAAGTCAAAGTTCAGTTTTAGGTGAGACTCTTACAAGGTTTGGGAAATCTTTGCTGGAATAAACCATATTTGCTTCGATCATGGACCACGTTGTTTGTGGAAGTTTTAATGTTTTGTCTATTGAATAAAAAACCTTGACGCGCGTGCGCGTCAAGACGTCGTCAATGGGTTAAAATGGCCGTCTGCTAGTCGATCGGGATCCTTAGTGACCCATTAAAAGAAAGTCAACGTGCACGGCTTATAGGAGTAATGAGGATGTAAGAATGTCAGAAGCTCCATTGCCATTCCTGTCGTATGCAGAAATTTCGCTTCAATTCCGATCTCAACCAACAGTGGAGGGTGAAAAAATGCAGGTTGTTGGTTCGCTTGAGATACGTATCCTTGCATCGTTTAGCTAGTGTGCGTGTACGGCAAACTGATCCTTGTCATGAAGCGGAATCAACTTTGTGACTCTTATGACAGTACATGAGGATGATGATTTATAACAATCAACGTATTGGAGCTTGCTGAACTCACTACTTTGATGGTGCGGGTGAAGACACAGTTCACGATAATTCAATGAGCGGGAACGTCAATGGCTTTCCCGCCTCTCGATCGATTTATGTCAGACGAGTGTCGGGACAATATAGATTGCAACTGTTCGTTCCAGGACCCACACAGAATCAGCTGCTCGCCGAGTGATGAAGCGATGTTTTTCTCCCATTCTTTTTTCCTTTGTTATTCTTTTTGCTGCCGCGATCCCCTACTTAATTTCTTACTCCTAGAGGCTGGAAAAGGTGAGCTACTTTCAGTGTTACTAGGGTTTTTTTGTTCACTTATTCTTATATGTGAATGAATTTCTGCTTACCACAGACTGTTATTCGCACCACGATCCACACGCACGCAATGTGGCGCTGTGCGTAGCTCGTCCAGACGCCTCGCTCTTGTTCATTTTTCTGGTCCCACTCTCGTTCAGACCCTTTTTAACGGGTTTTTGAACCTTTTTCCTCTTTGGAAACACCAATTCACGCAGTTTCTCCTCCTTCATCGCTCTATTTTCGATCTTGTCTTCCATTTTTCATCATAATCTGGATGATCCAAACTTATCGTGAACTGTGCCTTTAATGTAGCGTTTCGATGAGTATGGTGGGTCGGAGACTGCCATGTAAGCTATAGGCTAGGGCTACTGAATTTCGACACACCACGACTTGAACTGAACCCACTGCAATGTTAGTTTGAATTAGTAACAAGAACGGTACAAGGGCATTTGTTTGAAAGAAAGCACACTTTGCAAATTGTTGGTGCGGCGTCGGGAAGCAAACCCATCTATCTCGTATTACGGTGGAGAACACTGCCACTGCGCCGTAGCGACAACCTTGTGGTTGTTGCGGGCATAGGTTATCGGTTATCTACATAGGTATAATGACCGGAATGTGGGGCACCTCGAAAACAATCACTCTAGTATCTCTTGAACTCTAACTCGAACTTGATTCGGTCTCTCATGAACCGAATCAAAATTAGGTATTTCCTGCATATTTACATTTCATTATAGTATCGGAGGCTATAATATGTTAATTTTTATTTAGAAACGTTTCATGCGAAATGTTGGCGCTGTGCGAGAAGCAACGGAAAAAGTCATTGGCGAAGAAATCGTTGATGTGATCACAAAAGACTTTTACAAAAGAATTGAAGGTGTAAGCTTCGAGATACTTGAGGAGGTCCTCGCGGAGATTCGCCACGAATTGGAGGAGCAGAAACGAAATGAGGTAAGTTGGTCATTTCTTGAACATTTGTTCACTTTCGCCAACAAATAGAGTTTACGTGACCTTCTCAGGCCCAGGAGGCTTTGCGTGCACAGGCCAGAATCGTAACGCAGGACAAGCCTAGCGATGTATCTCAACTGTGCAGCCCTCTTGCAGCGGTTTGTTTGGCGCTTGTTTGCCACCACTTCTCGTGAAATACTACACGTGCCCTTTAATTGGTTTAGGTATTTTTACAGAGCCTTAATGCTACTCCGGAGAAACTTGGAACATTTCCGTTTACCATAAATATGCCCAAATTACCGAGCTTCAGGAGGGTAAGCTTCGGTTTACAACCATTAACATATATTCTCTTTTACTAAGAGTAGCGCAAAGCGCTACGGAGCGCAGGATGCTTTTAGGGTTAACTACGTTAGGGGCGTTTTTTTTTTTTGAAATTCCCAGCCCCAATCTCCGACGTACTGCTCGAAATTTGTGTCACTTATGCAAATTTCTTCTTTTATCGATGGTGATGATAGCCTTGTGCCTTTTGGGTCTTCTGATAGAGTTGCATTAATTACGACGAACCAAAGCTACTTTATCGTCTTATACAGATGCCCAATTGTGATGGGTTCCACCGTTCATGTGAAGGGATCAGCTGCACCTCAGCGAATCGGATTATGTTTCGCTGCTGATCCACGGTACACAAGACTACTTTTGCGTCAACGGTGGAACCTAGCTGGGCGGATAAGATGGTATCATCGAAGCATCAGCAGTAATCAACAACGTTTAAACTATGAAACTTGCGAAGCTAAAAATTATCGACATATAAGTTTTATGTCGAGGTTACAACAACAGAGGGCATTAGAAAATCAAGAAGAATTGGAATTTTCTATTAGTACTGTTTCATGCGTGAAACATTGTTCAGAGTATACGTGTTTAAATGTGATCACGTTTTCAACTGAAAATTTCATGTACATCAAACACTCACAAAACCATATTGATCAGTTCCGTAATGGGGAAGTGCGGTTCTATCACCGTATACTGCATAGCGAGTCAAGAGTTAAGGCAATAATTATGCAACATTTCCTAACAATTGTAAGCAATTCGTCTTGATAGCAATCACATAAGCATCGAAAAATAAGGGAAATCGTCTATATTAAAGCATGACTGAAGGAGCTTGCATACAAACTGAAGAATCAAAAGAATCTATTGCTTGTCCCCCCTTTTGAGATCTGAGCGTGAAAGGAAAAATAAACCCCTTCCTTACAGTCCCTTTGCAAACATGTCGGTACTTGCTCATGACAAAAGGTGTCTGGCTCAATCGCAATGGGTCGCGGGTCGCGTGTGCGGTATGACCCCATCGGGTGATAGAATTGTGTTACACCCGATCATTTATTATATCCCCATTCCTTTTATATTTTGTACCGACTTTCTGAGTGTATATTTTCATAAGTTGATCGCCACTGTCCACATCCTTTTACTACTGGTTGTTATAATTTAGAAGGTACGGCCACCATCACCGGAGTCTGAATCCTCTCGAAGTCCCGTAAATCGAAGGCGGAATGTCAAATCAAATATCTCGAGCGGTTCTAATGGCTCCGATGCTGTTCAAGAGAGGTAAGATAGAGACCGTCGTCTATAAGTACAACATCAAGCTTAATGGGATCGTCAAACTTCGATGTACCGACCCGCAATGTACCGGAAACAACCACTGGGGATTTCTATTTTAACTTTAAAGTGCGCTCTCCAACACGCCGCAGTTTTACGTGCGCGGCGCACTGTTCGGGTTCAACATTCCGCACCGGCGACCAAAGGCAATCCTTTTGTGTGTGATGCTCGAATTGACCCTGTGGAAAATACCTTAGTGTGATAAAAGCACTTCTAATTTGTGATTTAGTTTTCAAAAATGACATTAATTACTGTGAGACTTGTTTGCAAGTATTGCAAATATATGCGAGAGAAGTGCAGTCATCGTGGTTCTTAAGACGAGACTCAGGGACTTGTTTTGAATTGCATGCTTCATATCTGCGTTTATTGAATTACTTGCATCCTGCTGCCTTTGGTGAGATTTCTGCAACACATAGTTTCCTAGTTTAAGGCTTCCCTTTGTCGGAAGGTGGAGCATCTCGAAGGGCAAAAGGCAGATTATCTATGACCTCTTCTCTAGTCTTGGCGAGAGCCTCGTCGAACTGCCTACCTACCATTCTTGACAACACGGATGTATTACTCCCTTCATTTCCTTTTGCAAGATCACATGTATCACTACTTCTATAAAAAGTAGTACGGTTTTCAGTTTCATCCTTGAGAGGTCTTTAGCTGGGCCATCTTCATTGCTAGACACGGGATGAAGTATCGTAAAGATGTTGACCCCCTAACTTTTCTTGACGCAGTAAGACCGCTACCTGCGACAGTCGAGTGGACAGCGAAACACTCTCGTTCGCCTAATATCCCCGCTCATGAGCACGGGTATCTCTAATATAGTCATACGCACATCTCGCAACATCACAAGGGTAGTAGATGTCCCAAGCGGCTTTGATGAGGATCAGCGACAAGCTACTTCCTCTTTTATGCGATAACGTTTCACATATGGATACATGTAGGCCACTTGAAACCATGCACTATTCTTATGGCATCGCTCTATCAGCGAAAAAGGGTGAAGAAAGGACAAGCTGCAGAAATGGCAGTGCGTGCGGGCAGAGAATGAATACCGAAAGTGAAGAGGAACAAGTTTTTCAGCTGAGATTTGCGCAAAGTGGCTGCTTTCATAGCGTGCCGACCGGCGTGCCGGCCGCGGCGGACTATGAAGCAGCCACAAAAATGGTTTCTGTGTCTCTCCCTCGGAATGTCCCCCACTGGCCTCCAAAGGTATCAGGAATGGCGCTCTCGAGTCCCAAAACTCAACAGCTAGAGCATAGTGGGAGCCCCGTTACCGGATCACCGAGACTTTCCGCCCCTCGATCGATGTCCCGTCACACGAATGTCGAGCCGATACAGATTGCAATATTCGCTCTAGGACCCACACACAATCAGCTGATCGCCGAGCGATGAGGCGGTGTTTTTCTTCCATTCTTCAATTCTTTGTTATTCTTTTTGCTGTCGCGATCCCATTTTCAATTTCCTACCCCAAGAGGCTGAAAAGGTGAGCTATTTTTGCTGAACTAGGTTTTTTTTGTTTACTCATGCTCATAAGCGGATGAATTTTTGCTTACCGTAGCCAGATATTTGCACCAGGACCCACACATACGCAATGACGCGCTGTGCATGTAAAAAGAATAACAGAGGAAAAAAGAATGAGACAAAAACATCGACTCATCACTCAGCGATCAGCTGATTGTGCATGGGTCCTAGAACGAATATTCGCATTCTGTATTGTCTCGATACTCGCCTGATGTGACAGCGATCGAGAGGCGGGAAAGCGACTCAAGACAGCAACAGGGCTTCCACTATGCCCTAAGCGTCGAGATTCGGGAGCGAGAGGGACCCTTCTACCCCATAGGGGCACTGAGTATTCCTAGGGAAGAACTCGGTAACCATTTTGATCGTGAAGCGTGCTTTTAAGGGTTTACTTTATAGGTCAACAGTTTACTTGTCAAGCGTTCAAAATGAGCACAGTTGATCATTGCTTTATTTATCTTTTATAAGTTCATATTTCTCCCATCATGATGGCAAGCATATCGTCCACTTCACTGCGCATCCGTAGGCCGCCCCTCCCTTCATTCTATATGACCTGGTTATATTGACGCGTAAATCGCACTACACCCCCTAGCCGATTATACAAGTGGGATTGAATCATGCCTCCATTCAAATTTTTCAGCTCATCAAGCAGTGAGGAAACCGAGTCGTCTGATGAAGTCATTCTCAGAAGGAAAAGGCGTGGTCTGCGATCACGTCTTACAGACACAGCCGAATCGGGGTGAGTGAAAATTTAGCTTATATTCTTCTGCATAGCATATAGTCGTTTCTAATCAGGCCTGGTTCCTTGAGTGAGGCAACCTCCTGCGAAACCGGGCCATGCCGGAGCAATTCCCCTCGTTCGATCAGCGCATGTAAGTGGTTTTGAATTTACCCTGTGTCTTCCCATGTGTTGGATTCGAGAGCCCGAAATTATTTCCTTTTTGTTGCGGGAATCTACCATCTCCTTTTGCGCTCATACTGAAAAGAAGCCAAGAAATCCTCGTGTTTCAGTGAAAAATCGAGACTCTCCCATCTGCTCTACCGCAGTTTCTACAGCATCGAATATCGCGTCGTCGTCCGAGAGTTCTCCTCCGAGTGATAATGAAGATCAAGATGTTTCGACTGCTACAGAAGAGCCTTGCACATTGACTCCTCAGTCGTCAGTGAAGGAAATAAAGACAATAGAAGAAGATATTCCCTTCTGGAAAAAAATTGTACGTCATTCATTGCACGAGTGAATGTCTGGAGCTTATCACCTACTTCATTCATGTGACGAAATTTAGTTGTCTGATAAGTCGACGGAATGGTCCGCCGTTCTACCACAATCACTATATCATGTTCACCTCACTGAACATTGCTATTTCAAGCTGCCAGAGAATGACGAGAAGATGGAAAAAAGTGAAAGTTCGGGCGAGGTGCTGAGTAAAGATTCATTTTCTTCTCTCAGAAATCATTTCTTCTACGTCGAACTTTTTTATAGTCATCAACTACTATAATATACTCGCATATTCAGCAAAAGCCACAGTCGGCGGTCGCGAGAAGGGGAAGGCTGAACAGGCATGACAGGGAACTCTTGGGACTTTTTTCAACGGCTGACGCCCTACCTAAGCCGAAACCCCGGATGTTTGTATATTTTGTAATCCTTTTCAATATCCACATTTCCTTATCATTTATGTTGCAGATCATATCCGCCTTGGTCCCTTGAAGATAAGTTGAAGCGTATCCATCAGTGGGATGTGAGTAATCAACCTTCTTCGCTTTTCTTGTAGCGGTACAACTAGACGTGCTATACGTCATTTATTCCAGTGCTGCTTTGATCCGGAAGATCAAGAGTACTTGAAGCAGGCGTTTCTGATGATGCAACCATCTAGTGAGAACGGTGTTACTACACCGTGGGCTAAACCTGTTCGATTCAGCTTCACATCATGGTCGGATAAGCCACGGCTCCTGGTTTGGCTTAATCTGCTTTTCTTTCTACGCCAGATGATTGAAGAGGTTCCCTCTGAGAATTTTCTCATAGAATAACTTTTCTAGGATGAACCTGTCAAGAAAGGCCGTTTGGATCAATATTTCGCTGACTCCGAACTTGATGGCATCCTCCCGATTGTGGGTGGATGCGCGCGTACACGTGGTTACTTCAAGATGTCAATGAAAGAAAAGCGGAGCCTGATCAGAAGACCTGAAGATGAACAGCGTGATAAGACTCTGCTAAATGATCGTGTGAGCTTCCCAGACGCGATGCAGAGAAAGCTTGGGTTGCCAACGGAATATCAGTCTTCCAATGCTCTGGATTTTAGGATGAAGCTGCTGTGCGTCACAACCTCGTGCTCACCAAAGAATCGCGTTCGATGCATCGTCGTCTGCTAACTACAATGGGAGATGCAAACATGGATTTCTTCAAAGTGAACCAGTTGAAGGTGAATGATCTTCAGTTCAAGCAGATTTGTACATTGTGAAAAAATAAGAAATCTACAACCAATAATAATGACAGCTGTTAGCGTTGGCCCCCGCCTAAACCCCTTTAATACTTGGATCTGGTTCCAGGAGAAAAGCGACTGATTTCCCACCGAACACACGCACACCTCCGACACTCTTGCACCACGAAGGGCTCTCCTCCTTCATCCCCACCCCCCGGGGAGCTCACCCCACTTCTTATCACTTGTCGTGAGTGTTCCCATACTGCAGCCTGTAGTCCTACTAAATCTGCACGCCCTAAATTCAGATTAACACCTTTTGCACATATCCCGCCTCTGTGGGCGGGGTTTAGTCTATGTGCTGTAAGTGTTCCCACTCTACTGCCTGTACCCTACCAAGTTCGATCGCTCTGAATCCGAGTTAAGTATTTTCGCAATTAACAAGCAGGACTAGATTCCGTCCACTGTGGAGTTAAAGGCACGGTTCACGATAAAAAAAGGTTACTAAGTTCTTCCTTTAGGAATACTCAGTGCCCCCCCCCCCATGGGTGGTAGAAGAGACCCTCTCGCTCCCACAGTCTCAGCGCTTAGGGTATAGTGGAGGCCCCGTTGCTGCCGTAGTTCGCTTTAGTTCGCTGAGCTACTTTTGCTGTTACTAGGTTTTTTTTGTTTATTTATGCTTATAAGTGAAAGAATTTTTGCTTACCATTGTCTGTTATTCGCACCAGGACCCACGCGCGTGCAGTTAAACACTGTTTCGCTCGTCCGGAAGCCCCACTCTTCTTCATTTTTCTGGTTTCATTCTCGTCCAGTCCCCTTTTTGACGGGTTTTCGAAGCCTTTTTTCACTTTGGAAACACCGATGCACGCAGTTTCTTCACCTCAGTTGCACTAGTTTCGATCTTGTCTTCCATCTTTCATCATAATCTAGATTACCCAAAATTATCGTGAACTGTGCCTTTGACCTGTCTTCAATGTTCGCATACTTCTGCGTGTACTCCTACTAAATCTGAACGCTCTAAGTCCAAGGGAACAAGAGCATTTATTCTCCCCTTTTGCTGTGGGAGGATTCTAGTCTTACTACCAATCATCAGTGTTCCAATCCTGCCGCCTATGCACCTAGCAATTTCGATCTTCCAGATCTGATTTGCCAGTTTTCACCAACGCCTCACCCACTTTAGACGGAGTGTAGTGTTACCGCCCATTATCACTGTTCGCACAGTGTCGCCTGTACGTCTAGAAGATTTGAACGATCTAGGTCCAAGAGAACAGGAGCCCTAAATTTCCACGCAAGCACAGGTTTTTGCGCAAACCCCGCCCCTGTGGACGGAGTCCGGTTCTGTCACCCATCATAAGTATACCCATCCTGCCGCCTGTACTCCTGGGTGTGGTGCGATCCACGCGTCAATATAATTAGGTCATCGGACGAGAAACGCTATAATACCATGCCTACCATCATAATGGGAGAAATAGGAACATATAAGTAACATAAATAAAAAAAAGACCAACTATTCACGTTTACAAAAAAATTGCGTCTTCCAGGATCAAAAAATTTAAAGTTATTCTTATTTTGAACGTTTGACAAGTAAATTAATGTCCTATGAAGTGAATTCCTGACCTCGAAGGGCCTTCTTTGCCAAAGTAGTGAGGTTTGCTCTAATTCACGGTAAAGCCGTGTACTTCTGCGAACCTAATTTGGTCCATCTCGCCAATTTCGAGTTCTCCAGGTCCAAGGAGACAGTAGTTAAGAATTTCTCCTCGATTCCAAATTTTCGTGCAAACCTCACCCTTGTGGCTCAGTCAAGTCATGCCACATACCATTAGTGTTCCTATCCTGCCACGGGTGTGGTGCGATTTACGCGTCAATATAATGAGATCATCGGACAAAACGTGCTAAAACATCATGCCTACCATCATAACGGGCAAAATGAGAGCTTATATGTAACATAAATAAAATGAACAACTGTGACGTGCACGGTTAGAGAAGTGTTGCAATTTCTAGGATCAAAAAATTTGAAGATATTCTTATTTTGAAAGTTTGACAAGTAAATTGTTAAACTATCAGGTGAATTTCTAATCTCGAAGGAGCTTCATTGCTATAGTAAAGAGATTTGCCCTAATTCATGGTGAAGCCTTGAACTCCTGCAAATTTATTTGGTCCCTGCAAATTTATTTGGTCTATCTCAACAAAAAGGTACTGAAACGATGCTGCGTGCAGGAAGACCTCTAATGGGGTCACGCGTGAATCGCGCCCCCCCCCCCCCCCCCCCCCCCATCATGCCACCTGTATATCCACTACATTTGAACTCTCCAGATCTTAGGAAACAAGAGTTGTGATTTCCTCTTCAGGCACAAATTTCCCCATAAGCGCCGCTTATCGTGAGCGTAGTCAAGTCCTGCCACCCAACATAAATGTTCCCATCCTGCTGCCTGTGCTCCTTTCAAATTTGCACGATTTGGATCCACAGGACAGGAGTTATGAATTTCCGGTCGGACGCTCGCTTTTACACGCTCACAAACACAGACATTAGCGCATTATATATAGTGTATTCTTTCTTAAAATTCTCTTTCCACGAGTCCTTGCATAGGCGATCTTAAGTTCTAAATGATTCCAGTATCGCAGTATGAATGATTAATAATTCTAGTATCGCAAGAAAATGATCAAATTTGCTCGATCGCGTATTCACGGATGGGGATTGTATGCGATGGAGGCTATTGCGCCGGATGACATGATTGTCGAATACGTTGGTCAGAAGGTCAGAAAATTGTATTGATATCTTTCCAGATGTTTGCCTCTCTCATCTTCTTGCTGCAGCCTCGCTTAAGTATGACATATTAAAAGTGAGCTTTCAAGGTGCGAAATACGGTGGCAGATGTCCGTGAAAAAGCCTATGAAAGACGAGGGATTGGTAGCAGTTATCTTTTCCGGATTGACGATACTACAGTGAGTACTAGATTTGATACTGATACTAATTCTTTCTAAATGAAAGATGCTATATATTCAATGCTCGCCTTCATGCAGTGAAGTTATGAAAGTCAGGCAAAGGAAGGCAACTAACCTTGGAAAGGTTTCAACTTCCTATGGAACTTGGAATAGGGACCTAGGTATATCGATAGAGCTCGGGAAGTTACTAACAAATTTGGAAATTAAAACTGCAAAATGAGTCTACCAAAAAAAGATGTGAGCGTTCAAAGTTTGCATGTCAGAAGAATGGAGAGATTGTGAAAGTTGATAAGCCAGTTGCCCGCAGTGGCCACAAGGGTCTCCGTGGCGTAGTGGCAGTGCTCTCCCTCTCCAGGCGAGGAGTGGGGGTTTGCTCCCCGTTGTCGTTTTGCCTTTTGCAAAACGTGCTTTCACCCGAATAAAAGCTCACCTATCTACCGCCTGTCATCGCACTTATTTGAAATTCCTTGATGTGGAACAAGAAACCCTAATCACTTAGAAAAGATATGTGTGAAAAACTGGATATTTATGAAACAATCCAATGGCTGAAGCAGATATGTTGCTCACAAAATGTGAACTTTATATGTACATGCTAACAGTACACGTTTCTACCCATCTTTTGGATTGTTTCATCGATGTTGAGTTCCCTCGCTTGTCCAAGACTATTGCACTTTGGGCGTGGGTATGTGTGTTTCCGTGTTGAAAATGAAATAGCGTTACAAAAATGACGTGGAGAAATTTCAAAAAAGTGATAGGTGGTAGACAGGTAATCGCAAATGGTAGCCGAATAAAGTGCTAAGTTAAATCAGTAAGAGAAAAGGTTGAGGAGCTTTTATTCGGATTGAAGCACGTTTTGCAAAAGCGAAAACGGCAACGGGGAAGAAACCCTCACTCCTCACCTGTAGAGGGAGAGCACTGCCACTACGCCACGGAGACCCTTGTGGCCATTGCGCGCAACTGCGCTTACCAACCTTCACTATCTCTCCATGCTTTAAGCATGCATAGTTTGAACGCTCACAACTTTTTTGGTGGACTCATTTTGCAGTTTTGATTTCCATATTTGTTAATATCTTTCCAAGCCCTATCGGTATACCTAGGTCTCTATTCAAAGTTCCAAGGAAAGTTGAAACCCTTCCCTGGTAAGAGACACTCTAAATGAACTCTGGAGTATTTTCCTCTTCTGTGCCTACTTTCTTTTTTTTTTGACCTAGTTCTGGGAGTTTTTTTCACATGCTTACAGTCACCTCTCACCCCCTATTAGAATCCCAAATATGTGTGAAGCACTCGCGCATGTCTCCATGTCACAAGTTACCTGAAAAAGCAGTTGGAGAGGTCGGGCGAAGTTTGGGAACTGTTGGGCTAGATCAATAGCACCTATGTGTTTTGGTGTGGAGCTCCGTCTACGTGATGCATGTTGAGAAATGCACTGGGGGGAAATGCCATAGTGGTCTAGACATCGAGTGAATAGAAATGAGCAAGGTTTAATGCTAGGCATGCGTGAACTGAACGAAACTCCGCCTACGATGAATAGGGCGCTTTCAAAAAAAGCACTCTCCTTTTTTAAAACGCCTCATTTTACGAAAAACGAGGTTGGAAGCTATCGAATGGAATATGGTTGATTCTTTAAGTTGGGAGGTACATGCGCCGAAGTGGACGTAGCTCTCTTCAAAAATTTATAACTTTGATCGAATTCCGGAAAAAGTGGGTAGAGGCTATTGAAGGAGGGTGTACAAGTCTTCGAATGGGCGGGCCTTAAGCGAGGGAGTGGAGTTGCGGTCAAACATCGAAAACTCCACTCAAAAACGTTCTATTATCATCACTCTTTACTCCTTACTGCTTGCTGAATTCGAGGCGTCTGTCTGCTGCGAAATTCTTTGTTACCTGAGGAGCACCTGGCGAACGTCCTGTTGAACACTGCTGATGAAAATAGTTTCTGAGAATTCTTCTTAGAACGAACCTTTGAGCTCGAAAATATAAGGGGAGCTGTTGTGTCAAGAAACGGCATAGGTAGGGCCCTGTGAAGGCCTCAAAATCGGTCTAGCCGGCGTACACACCCGGACGGACGAGTCTTCACAACGTTCTTAAGACTGTAAAGGTTGCACCATTCACGCCGGGACGCACACATTGCATGAGAGTGGTTTATTGTAATCGGCCGCATAACACATATGAACAGCTCTCGCAGGTATACCTTCCATGCGACCTTTGTCGTCACGCTCTCGCCCACTTTTGTATCATTCTGAACTATTGCTTCCATTGTTCATCTGAAACTGAATAACCCAAACAATCAAGGAATGCGCCTTCAAGTTCGGGATGGATGTAGAATAGGAAGAGGAAAAGAGCGAAATTCACCCGCGCTTTGTTTACGGGGAAGCTTAAGTCTGCTTTCATATTCCGATGGCCGGCCGGCGATGTAAAACGAATTAGTTCGTATGAAAGAAATCTACGTCTGTTGCATTTTATTTCACGGTTCTGACCTGTTCTGACCGATGCAACAGACGTAGATTTCTTACATACGAACTAATTCGTTTTACCTCAGTGCGCCGGCTCGCCGGCCCGCTGGCCGGCGGACTATGAACGCAGCCTAACATGTACCGGAGTGATCGCGAAGTGGGAACTCATTTCTTTTCTGAGCAGCTCAGGCATCTCGCAAAAAGGAGTAGATCGAGGGTTAAGAAATGAAACGAAGTAGGCACACTCGCTGTGGGTGTGGGTGGAGTGTCCTTGTGAGGGGTCTGGTGTAAAGGGTATGTGTTTTCCATAAAAATAACATTTAAGCTTCTAATTTGATTTCAGCGCCAGAATCTTGAGGGCGGAGCTCAGGTCAAATTTCCATAACTCACTCTCAGTTGTGACTCCCGCGGTGGTTTAGCTCAAGCTCAACATAACCCATTGTGTGTTTGCGATTTTGTACTTGCTTCTGACAGCGATGTCATAAATTCTACTTCTATTAGCTTAGGAGGCTTATGAGAACTCCCGATGTTCTAGACCTGGAGCGTTTATGTTTGGGATAGATATAGCTGACGGAATAGTGGATAACGTCTGATAAGTTTTGATAAGGTCTCACAATAGAGGAGATACTGAGAATGTTAAAACATTCATAACAACAAAAGAAAGGTTGGTCGTAGGTAGAAATTAACAGAAGTATCACTGATAGCTGCTACAGAGGTTCTAAAATTCAGTTTCACTGGATTTGCTACACCTATCGTCAACGCAATAGGCTTTTTGACATGTAATAGACAGAGGTGATACGAACATAGTTGATAGAAAGGTGGAAGAATTGACAAGAGGTGTTCCTGAGAAAACGGCATATGTATGGCCCTTTTTCTGGAAATTGAGTTTTGTGCCGAACCGTCCTAAATTGCTGAACCTGGATAGGCGGTGCACCAGAGAAGGTGGCAGCAATTTGTAAAGGCTGACGGGGAGGAGTTAGACAGGAGTGCTTGGAATCGCTTCTCATTTCAGGTCATAGATGCCACTCGCATGGGTAACTTCGCACGTTTTATAAACCACTCTTGTCAACCCAACTGTTATGCAAAAGTTAGTTTTTTTTTTCTTTCATTTTTATTTATTTTTCATGCACCTTTGTTTACAGCTGTTTAGTGACTAGTTTACAGAAATTAATGAATAATCTGCTGGAAGCTTGCTTTCAGTACTATTCCTCAAAAAGCAAGAGGTTTTTGATTCAGTGAACTTGATATCGGTGAATCGTTTTGGGATACCCAACCTTGTGCTCAAAATTTTAACGCAGCAGAATTTTGGCTTGTTTCCACCTGCACTATGTCGATTATCCAATCATGCAAAAGCAATTTAACAGCTTTGGTGAAAGACATCTTTAGCTTGAGCTGCGGCTGTACGCCGTTGTAACATAGCCGTTTCCTTTCGTGGAGTGCACGCACTTCAATTGCCATCTATACAACACAAATGTTGTGTGGAACAATTGTCCGAGCTATTTAGCCTCTAGAAATTACTAATATACTCTTGGTCCACTAAGCTTCATCGAGTTGATATAGGAATAAATAGAAAAATAAATAGAAAACGTGGTCCGTAGTCGAGTCGCTAACCATTCTTTACCATTAGGTTGTCGTCGTTACGCCCCAAGGTAAGCCTTTCGTAATTATGACTTCAGCCATATGAAGCTGCCTGAGAGCTATTGTCTATTACGCATTTCTGTAAAGCCATAGTCCATTGACAGCTGTCGCAATTATCTGTTGTGCATTCACAAGGAACATCGTATCTCATTCCACGGGTGCTCCTTGATGAACCCAGGACGCCCAGGGAAGTTTTGCTGTGTCTTTGTTTGACTCTCAGTTTGAGGATTCCACTATGACCGCAGAGATTTACGCTTCTTGCTGCTTGCGGAATTCACCGACCGACCGACCGACTCACCGACCGACCGATTGTGGCGGCGATGGCAAAATGTCGACAACGCAGGACACCAATGGATCACGCACCCCAACGCGTCACGTGGGCTTCAAAGCAATCTGACCAGCGTTGTCAACATGTGGCCAGCGTCGCTCGGTGGGTCGGTCGATCGTTGATCTGAAAGCAGCAGTAAATTGCCGAATTGGATGGGAAATGCTGCCCCTTCCTCCTTGTTCGCCAAATCTCGCTCCGTTCGACGGAATAGTTTGAAACCATTCGACACGACAATAAGTAATGTTTCTCTCGAACCAGTCTGTTTTCTTACTGAATATATTTTAGGAGGAGAACAGACTGGTCCTTTCTCATTTCTACCATTTATTTTCCGTCGACACAAATCCGTAGAAGACCTTACTCCCTTTGAGTTCTTGCACTTGAAGGCACAGTTCACGATAATTTTGAGATACCCGTTTTTATTCGGGAAGTGGAAGTATAGATTAGGAATAGTTCATCGGTAGTGAAGAAAGCGAGAGAATTCGCCGATTTCGAGACAAATATGGCTCCTCAAAAGTAGGAATAGAGTTTGGACGAGATTGCCATGAAGGAAAGAACGGTTCCGGGAACTTCTCTCTGAACACGGCGTCGCACACGCCGCACCCGCCGCGTATCTCAGGATTGCGATGGAAGAGGAGCGCGCAATTTGTGAGGTAGGGAGTCCTTTAATTATTTGAATTGGCTGGCCGCTCTTTTCAATTCCATTGATCTCGTTTATATAGGAGGAGTCATTTTAATTGATCAAGTCTAATAAACATGAAAACGAAAAAGAAACAGAAGAAAAAACGATCAAATCAAATAAAAAAGCAAGGCAATCAACGAAAAATATCGCGTCCTACCAATTGGCGGGGAGGAGGGGTGACTACGTTAGTTGCAGTGACATTTGCCGTATGCCGCAAAGGAGAATGCCGCAATCGGGAAAAAGTTCCGTTACCCGGAAATAACATGTAAGGAGGTATTCGCCCGAGATTTTAGTTATTGCAGTTGCACAAAGAGCTGACTACATCACGCCGGAACTGTACAAAACTGTCTCTCACTGTCGCTATGGGTTATGACAAGTTGTTTGAACTTCCTACTTGGGTTCCCTTGTGATCGGTGCAGCCTCTACAATGCTGTTAAAACTCGTCCGACGATACACATGGGTCAATCTTTGGTCCTTTATAACTCCCTAACTACGTCGTTTTCCGACCTAATAGTGCCAGATATGGTATACACGGGGCCTCAAATTCATCTTGTGGGGGAATCTCAGAAACCATTTTTATCGTGAGCTGCGCCTTTAATGAAGGTCATCGCCCCTTACTGCTTATTACGGAACAACTCTAAAAGGGTTAACTTTTGGAGAGACTGGACGGTTTGAAAACGTTGCTCAACAAGTAGGTTATGGTGTGGGCAGCGAAGCATATGTGAAGCAAAGATATTTTCATATTTTACTTTAAGGTGGTAACTGTCGACGGTGACAAGCGAATCGTGATATACAGCAAGACTTTGATCAACAAAGGTGACGAAATTACGTATGATTACAAGTTTCCAATAGAAGAAGACAAAGTTGATTGTTTGTGTGGTGCTCCCAACTGTCGCGGAACTCTCAATTAGTTCATCATTCTACCACGTACACTTTGATTGCACTCTACACGGATTGCTTTCAATGTTATGCATGAGAACTGAAGAAGTGCAAGTGAAACAAAGGAAATTTGATGTATATCATGATTGCACCATGCGCTTGGTGTTGCCCTTGGAGATCGCGCATTTTTGTAATCGGTGATTATTAATCTCATATTTATCGTCTTTCATTTACTGTATACTGCTATTTTTCTTATCACACTAGAATTTGTTGTGCCCAAGAGTGCATCTGCATAAGATTGTTTTTTCCTAATTCTTACAATTCATTCCTTTAACGTTCACCTCTCTGTCATTGCTCAATTCTACTTATACCAAATGTCACGCGCTGTTTCCTTTTTTGAAGGTCTTTACATTAACTCATTTCAGTGTTCTTTCCTCCTCCCGTTGATTCTAAATTGGAGACAAAGTATTGTCTCCAGTAGAGCTGAGCTCAATCTAGTTTGAACTTCTTCTAATAGTTTCTTCACTTCTCCAACAAATCTTTCCAATTGTTCCGGGTTGCTCTCAAAAGGCTGAGCTAACACTGTTGTATGATCAGACTTGTAAATTGTTCGAATGAATATTTATAGAAGGCTTGCAGGTTGTTTTTGACAGGTCTTTGACCAAGAGGAGGCTATATTACATGTTTACTTGTTGGTTGCATATGCATTTGATTAGTATTTTTGTATGGTTTTTTATATTTCAAGCATTGGCTGGGTCGTGAACGGTTATGATCGAAAGAGTCTCTTCAAGTTAATCGTTTTTTTTGGGTTGACACGTTTAAGATACAAAAGAAATGAGCAAATTGATTTTTTCCTATTACGAAATAATGGAGGAAAAGTCATCTACAGGGTGAGCCATAAATATGGTAACAAAAGAATCGGGCTAAAGAAACCGCAGTCCTCATTGATGCGTGGTGAATTCATGTGAGTTATATACTATACATTGAATCTACATAATGAACACACGGTGATTCAATATAACCGTCTCCCGTATTAATTAATTTTTGAAGACAATTCAGCTACTCATCGACGACGGCACGCAGAGTTTTTTGAGAAATTCCAGCCCAGGCTTTTTTCAGTGATTTCTCAGGTGCAGCAACAACGATGCGTTTGGAAGCGCAAGCTTCTCTCTCCAATATAGACTATATCCAGCGACCCATAAAATTAAGGTCCGGGAAATTTGTGGGAGGAATGGAAGCTGGGACAAAATCGCGAACATTCCCTCAGCAACAGTCTTGATCCTTTCCCTTTCGTGAGCGAGTGCGCCATAGTTTTCAAAACGTATCCCTAGAAAAATCTTCAATCCTTAGCTGTATCCTTTCAGAAAAACCCTTTTAGAGAGGTTCGGACTAAGTTTCGTACTTTTCTCGTCCAAGATTTGCGATATCGCTCTGATGGTGGAGATTCTAGCTCAAACCATGATAAAAGAGTGGAACTTGCTATGAGAGGCGATCTGACTCTTCTCGACGACCTTAGCACTCGTAATGTGAAATGCACGAATACTCTGAGACCTCAACATTTCTTCCACGCTAAACAACCTTTGGTCAGAAACAAGTGTGGCGAAACGCGTGCCGCGCGCAAGTAGCGCACCGTATTTGCTTTTTATCTCCAGCTTCTTCACGTCAAGCAGCTTATGAGGCTTTCGAATTTCATTTGGATACAAATGTATTTACTCTGGATAGACTCTTTCCATCGGATTAGAACATACAAACAAATCAGCAGTCATTTTTCTAGTGTATCTGAAGGTGCCGCAGTGCACTGCTTCTCAAGCTACGGTACTCAGAAAAGGGGTAGTATGTGAGACAAGGCGACCGTTTTGAGGTTTGTCGTTGACCTGTTGCGCATCGCGTTTCAAGAGACTGCCATGTGGGAAATCTTGAAATGAGGAGCGATTCCGGAAAAGGATTCACTGAACGCGCGCAAAAACGTGACGGCTGGTGGATGTCTGCGGGGCTCCACCGTTTTCCGAAATCTGACGACTTGAAAGCACCAAAGTAGGTACGTTGCCTGAGGTATATTATAAACATAAGAGCAGGTGCAGATTTTGAGAAACCCTACGAATAAGGAAATTACGGAGGTTCGAAAAGTTGTTAACATATTTATGGCGCACCCTGTATAGCATAATACTGTTTTGTTATTTTTCAAGATTATGTTGGTTCATTGGTTCTTAATATTTTTTATTTTACGACCAGTAGCAAATCACACTCTCAAGTTAGCATTTTATATGCTTTTATTATTATTATTATTTTAATTATTATTAGTAACTATTATTATTAATTATTATTATTTATTATGTTAACTAATATTAATTATTATTATTCCTTGTTATTACTGATTATTATTATATTGTTTTTATTATTATTATTACTATTTTACATTACTTGATTGTATTACCATTATGCATTTTAAAGTAGGAGTCCGGTGAAGTAGAGTCCCCTCCACTTGCTCTTTTGCCTTTCGCGAACATGCAGGGTGCGGATAAGTACAAGTCGCGCCTTCTGGCGCTTGCTGACAGCCTGCGAATGAGTATTTTCAAAGTTTTTCGGGACTCTTAGAAAGCGCGGGAGTTGTGCAAGGACTCTTATGTCATTTGATTGACCGTCCGACTGAACATCGCTATGGAAGTTTCTGCGCATTCACCCATCATCAAGAAGTTGCTCAGATAACGTCTCAGGAGTTGTGCATGGCAAACGACTCGGCGTTCCCTCTTCAACCGTTCAAAATGTCTCCGCTGCTTTCAGGGATGGCGGGCAACCCTCTAAAATGCCAAAAAATGTACGACCGAGAAAAGTGAACGCAACAAGGATTTGTGCATCAGTAAGAAGGGAATCACCTGCAACGATGGGGTCAGCATGAATCGAATTGCTTCTGACCTCAACATCAGCCGAGGGGCGGGAAAGCGAACTACGGCAGTAACGGGGCTTCCACTATGCCCTAAGCGTCGAGATTGTGGGAGCGAGAGGGTTACTTCTACCACCCATGACGGGCGCTGAGTATTCCTAAAGGAAGAACTCAATAACTTTTTTTTTATCGTGAACCGTGCCTTTAAACACTCATCACGGTCATCCTGACACGCTTACACGATCATGTTTCTGCCTACATGCAAAATAATAGAAGCGATATTGCATGGATTGGGTAAGTAAGTTGTCGCCACAACGTACTGAAGGTCGTAGAACGCGTTAAAATCAATGCCAAGGGGTTTCTTGGCTACGAGGAAAAAATTCAATACAATGCATAATTCTCGTCCCCCACAAAAACCGAACCCTAGTCTCCCAGAATCGACCATGCGCTCCTCTCTATAAATCTCGGCATGCTTCTTTACAGTTCTGAGGTTTCTCTTTTGAGCTGTTAACACGTTGACGACAATGCACGTTTGGACATTTTTGGTCGCGTGGGACAGACGCAATTTTGCGGCAGCTTCGACCGCGGGACACATATGTCCCGCGCTGTCCCTTGAGGCGCGCTTTTCGAAGCTTGAGTGTAAGACCTACTTTCAACTAATTATCGCTACTTAGTAAGTTGACTAATAAAATGAAAAGCACGCAAAAATGTTCTACATAATAAATATCCCGCTCTAACAAATGTATATACGGACATACAAATGGCTGGAATAGAAGAATACTTGGACAACTCGACCAACTTCTGACACCGCAGTGCGAAGTTAGGAGATCCAGATTACCGGAGAATGCGCAAATTCGGACGACGGAGAGCAAGGAGCTACTGAAGAAGAAGTAGATGATATGGAAGAAGGTATGGAGCCTAAATTAGAAGAAGAACAATCCGATAGTGAAAGCATGGTGGTTAAGCGATGCTTCGCCGCACGATGCTTGGTTTAATGGTGTCTCCGGCTTACATGATGTTGTTTATGACTGCCAGGAACCAACAGACTTCTACTAACTGTTTCTGAATAGAGAGATTCTGGCCCCATCGTTAGAGAAACCAATAGCTACGGGATTCAACAAAATAAAGAATTTCAATGAGAATGGGCTCTTTTGAAAACAGAAAACATTTGTTGTACTGCTATTAACTTACAATCAATAGCTTGCTTCCATTGCTCTTATTTTACCTGTTTTGTTGATCTCAACATAAATGCCGAAGTTCAAAGTAGGCTCAAAATTCTGTGAGACTCAGAAAGCCTGTGCAAAGATGGAGCATATCTGATCATTTGATGGACCATTATGTTTACAGCTTTGTACTGTTCGATCTGTAATATAAACACAAATAACATTCTAATAAATCACGCAGGCGCTTAAAAAAGTTGGGAAATGAGCGCGGGACACATATGTCCCGCGCTGTCCCACGTGGCCTGCAAAACGCGGGACATATGTGTCCCGCGTTGTCGTCAACGTGTTAAACCGAGATTGCAACAATGTTTATTAGGCTGACGTTTCGATGCCTCCACCTTCTTCGGACGATCAAGAACTATTTCAACCCACAGAGAGAGTTCAAAGGACGTGGACTAGTAGGAAGTCGGAAGTTGTTAACTAACCTGTGGGGTAGCCNTGGATCATGGCTAAGGCCCCTAAAATTAATCGGATGGAAGAGTGCGTGGCGGTTACCACAGAGCTGGCGCCCTTTGCAGCGCTATGTGGGTTTTGACCTACGCAGTCGATCCCCCGCGGGGTCCTCTCGGCGGGGCGGGGTCAGGGGGCTTGTACATTTATCGAAAGGAGTTGATTTGGAAGGGGTCAGCGGCGCGCTCGACCTTGTGTGGCTTTTGAGGAGGCTTGATCTACGTGATCAGCCTTTCGGAGACCCCTGGAGCAAGTTGACCTGAGGCTCGCCCTATTTAAACCGCAGTCCTACCAACTTGGGGTGATCTGTGGACCACAAAGGTCGGCAACCCCACTGGTTAGTTAACAGCTTCCGACTTCCTACTAGTCCACACCCTTTAAACTCTCTTTGTAGGTTGAAATAGTTCTTGATCGGATGGTTTTTCAAGTGTCTTTTGTCTTTCCAGGCTCCGAAGAAGGTGAAGGCACCGAAACGTCAGCCTAATAAACATTGTTGCAATCTCGGTTTAACAGCTCAAAAGAAAAACTTCAGAACCTAGTCTCTTAATTATGAGACGTCACCCCTACCACTGCTCCAATCCGCCGCTTGTAAACCTGTCACATCCGCGTAATTTAAGTCAGCTCTTCTCTTATGTTAGGCCTCCCCCTAACCTAAAATCCTCCCGTCCTCCTGAAATCACCTCATAGCTCCATCCAAAGAATTGTTTGGCAAATTTGGAAAGCAGATTTGTGGTCAGCATCCGAAAATACGTCCAGCAGTATAGTAGTTTCAAACGGCCACTCCGACTTGGGATCCTTACATGATGAGCAGACTCAACATTGCTACCAACCACAGAGATTGATAGCATTTCTGGGTTCTGCTCAGTATTATTGGAATTCAAAGATTTTCCGAAACGCAGTAGTAACCGTACTAGGGTAAATAGTTTGAAGTAGATTAGTAGAAACTATTCCAAGTTTGTGCCCCAATAATAGGCGCCGGAGTCGCTCGAGTCGCCACGAATTTCTCCGTGCGTATCCTCGGATGCACGTATGTACCTATACCCCCCCCCCCCCCCCCGCTCCGAACGTTTTTTATGACTTGGTATCGGAAGTCAAGAAGCATTCCGTAACACCAGTTGCGGAAAATTACAGTTCACCAGTTGAGAGGGTTATTCCCACCACGGGGATTTCATATATTGTCCTATTGGTAATTCTGATTTTGATAATGCTTATGTTTTAATGTGGTGTTTCCATGGTATGTATATGTATCAGTAAATGTGTGTATGTGTAAGTATGTATGTGTGTATATGAGTGTGTGTGTCACACCATCACAAGGTTACGTGTTAATCCTTGTTATATTGGCCCTGCATCAGGGGACAAAGAGGAGGACGGGCTCATGGCCATCTGGGCACTTTTATGCGGTTTCAGCTAGGGATATACTATTTTTAAGCCAAGCGTTAGGAGGGTAGTATTAGGGTGTCCATAAAGTTCATTGTCCATTTGTAAACAGCGTCGCGTTAGGCAACGCGTTGTGATTTTGCGTAATGATTTTGCAGTACTGAAAGTACCCGCGATAGGCTCTCTTCTAAGCTAGCTAGCTCTAAAGTTCCTTTCCTGCTCTTCCACAACAAAGCAGAGAAGATGAGTGATAGTCACCACTGCTGCCGGTGATTGCTGGACTACTACAACCTGGGCATCTCCAGACGTCAGGCCACGACCAGGATGCGTCAGCAGTTTGGTGATAACACCCCTTCTAAGAACTAGAAGTCAAAATGGCGGACTCACTTCGAGGTCTAGTCGCCCAGATACCGTCGATCGACAAGGCATTCTGGATGCCCTGGACGATGAACCGACCTCGTTCCAGAATCTTCCTCAGACACGGAGGCCTGAGAATGATTCTGGATCCCCTCATTTTCCAAGGTGGGGTCTTCTACTCTAATTTTGCCAACAAACCAGTCCGAGTGCATTTAGATGCTCCCCCGCCAAGCCGTGCAAAGAGAAATATGCATGAAAAGAAGCGCCCTCCGTCATTCTGATTCTCCACTACAGCATCCTACCCAACAATGCCACAGTGACGGCAGAGACTCTTGATGCACTAACATTGTAATGGATCCCCCTCCCTCCACAGCCGCATTTTCACTCACCGGAATACTTGACTTCTGTCCCTGTGGGTTTGAAGCTCTCAAATCAGAAGTGGAGGGTGCAGGTTGATACAAAATTAGTGATAAGTGCAGAGAGAAGGATCGCTCAAAGAAGTTATCATATGAGGAAATTTGAACTACTATCGGACTACTATACCTCAAGGCTGGCAATCAATAACATATTCTTCTTCGTTCCTAGTCCAGTTGCAACGAAATTTATTCGATCATCAATAATCCGGAATACCTGTTAATCTGGTTATACTCGTGAAGATGAGGAGGGCCATGGACACCTGGTAGAAGTGTTTTCATCAACGGCGACATAAGTATTATTCAAGACATCTCCTGACTAACTAGATGACTGAGTCGCAATAAAGTAGGTGCTCCAGTGAAACCAACAATTGAAACGATTGGACCCCTAATGACCACTGTTGTGATTCACGGCAAGAATTAGGCAGAAGTAGATATCCTAAGCGCGAGCGGCAAGCTTCATACGACAAGCTATGCAGAATTTGGGGTCAGGAATGAATCATTTGTTCCAAAGTGCAGTGGTGAGTCAGCCGTGCATTCCTGCTTCTAACATCGATGAGAGCCTGGGTAGGCCGGGCGATTCGATCAGTAAGTTACAATTTAGCTAATACAATAATCAATTAGTACACGGAAAAAGCGGGCGAAACAGGAAACCTAAACTATTTTAAATAATCAATTAGTGCAGCCTTAGTCATCGATCGACCCGTAGGATCGAATGACGGCCGTTGCCCTTCGTGTGCCCTTTGACAGATACTGCCATCGGCTGCTCACAGACCACCAGCTTTCGCCTTTCACGGTACGCCGCACGCTGGCATCTATTCAAAGGCTCGTAGTATGAACACAGCCAATTGAAGCCCATGTGCCCACATTGTGTCGAAGCTGTAGAGTGGCCACTCGCATGGGAAACGTTCAACTCATCCAATCGTGAGTTCTTCCTTGAAGAAACTCAGCCCACTAGTAGGTTATGAAGCTATTCTTCCGATGCGAACATCTTAAATATCTTCAATTGCAGGTGTTTTATTCTAAGGAATGTCTTGTAGTTGTTTTTCTTCGTCGTTTTCCTCAAAGTTGTTTTAGAATATGTAGCGAATTTCACCTCTGAAACGGTTGGTATTGTTTCAAAAAAGAGGATTCTACCTACAGGTCATAGTCCATTGCAATATCTAGAGAATGTTCATCATTACTATATTCAGAGAATTTTGTGAAGCTATAGCAACTACTGAAGAACTGAAGCTTCCTACCAACTAACTTTTCTCTATTCGTGATTTTGTTTCGTTTCCTCTTATCTCGTGCGTTTGAAAATAGTGTCTTTTTCGTAGTATTGTAATATGGCCTTACGCTGTCTTTGCCTTCTTCATCCAGCGAGAGTACTACCTCTTGTCCGTGTTATCAGCACGACACAAACCATGGGACGAGGATTTAAACAAGGTCGGGGTTTCAAATATTGTAATACTTATTGACTGTTGTTTTGACTGCAAAGATGTAGAATAGAATTTTCCAAAATGAAAAGCTCATTTATACGCTAATTCCCACTGAACTCTCGAAGTAGCATTTAAAGCTCTTGGAGTCAGTAGGCAGTTCATTCCTCTGCGTGAAACGGAAAGTGATCTACGTAAAAACACTTGTGTTTATTCTGTCTCCACTTTCACTTCTTTTTATATACAGGTCGTGGTTCCGGCGATTCTGGGAAGTCTAGCCTGTTCAACAACGAGCGTCGTTGGAAGGATGATGATGCGTTCCAGGCCTTGGGTAACACAGATGAGCTCTCCTCGCTGCTTGGGTTTGTCACATGCCTAGTAATTTGGTTTGAAATAATTTCGATGCAAAAAGGTGCATTCATAATGCCTGCGTTTCTGCGCAGGCCAGTGGGTTTCTACGCAGACACATGCGCATTAAGGAAGATATGCGCGTAAAAAACGTACTAGTCTGTGTGAGGACCGTTTGATTACGTAGTTACGAGACCGCTTTCCCTTGCAAGACGTCGTGATTCTTTTCTAAAAAGAGTAACGGTGCCGACGCAGACTAGTGCTTTTTTTATGCAAACGTTTGCGTTTTAACGCATATATCTGCGTAAGAAGGCGGGCACGACCAGTGATTTCTAAAATGTGTGATTTCTAATTGTTTTGGGCTATTGATTTCTTCTGATTGTTATACATACAACTAACAATAAGCACCCCTTCTTCTCTTGGTGCTTCTTGCCGTTATGTTACGTGACCGTTAGAGGGATTTCAACGTGCTGTGCCACTCAGCGAATGCGCGCAATCAAGTGCGGCGAGTGCGACGTCGTTTTCGGGAAGAAGATACCGGACTCTCATACGCTCCACTGACACTGAGTGTTACTGTAATGTCATTTCGAGATCGCATTGAGCTGCATCGCACGCGATGGAGGTGGGGTGTCCTAGTCTGGACGGACGCGCAGAACGGACGTCCCCACGCAAGAGTGCTTATAGCGCCCAAATATCGAGCTAACAAATCAATCATTGTTGTGATATTTACTGCTATTGCAGCTTGTTTCCTTCTTTTCTTGTCATCTTTTTTAGTGTTTGCTGTGAGCTTGCGAAGATTGATGACATCCCCGATGTGGTAGAAGTTCTCACTCGTCTGCAGTGTTGTTTACAAGACATACAAGCTCATCTGGCCACTCCCCCTCAATCATCCGATAAAAAGAAGGGTAAGATGATATTGATGTGAATATATTTCAACGTTTCGTACAATCATTGTTTCCATTTTGCAGAAAAGACACATATTGATACTAACATGGTGGAATGGATTCACGCCGAAATTGATCGTTTCGGAGACCAAGTGCCACCACTTCGGCAGTTCATTCTCTCTGTGTGTTTAATTATTCTTAAGTTTTGGACGCCTATGGCTGCCTTCAGAGTCCGCTGGTGGACCCTGCGAGCGCGCGTTCCAGGCGGCGGCGGCCCTATCCACTTGTTGGTAAACACTGGACGCCGACTGATCACGTGCCAGTGTTGTCAACAAGTAGTTAATGCAACCACCAGCCGGCACGCGCGCTCGCAGGGCCTTCCGGCGGACTCTGAAAGCAGCCTGTTGTTCATGAGAATCGTTTGGTCTACTTAGAGAATGTCGTTAAGGGTGGAGGTACTACAGCAGCACACCTGCAATTTGCCCGTGCCGTTTGTCGTCGAGCTGAACGCAGCGTTGTGCCTCTTGTGAGGGCAGAACACGCTGATCCGCAGGCCATGAAATTTTTGAACAGGTTACTTTTTCTTTTCATGTTTTCCCGTTCTCGGACATTTCCGTACCTTCTAGATTGTTGTTATTGGCTTCTTCTTTGAAAAGTATTCCATTCCTGTTTGGACTATGAGCTAACCAGTTGGACTACGCATGCTAACGCGCGCATCACAGGTCTACATCCCTTATCGACGACGGAATATGTTTTTTCTCCTTCTTCTTTCTATTCTTCGAGCTCGAACGCTCTAAGGCCAGTGATCAAGAAGTCGTTAGCTGATTTTTTTCTAAAGGCTTGACTTTCCTGCGACTTAAGAGAGATGCAGGTCACCCTGTGTTTGCACTAAAAACCTTTGTGGATCGGTAATTGTTTATCGACTTCGACTGATGAGCCGGTGTCGACACTGATCTGTTCCCACCCTTCCCTACAAGTTTGATCGCCCTGTGATTGGAAGTAATCAGGTTGAATCAATTTACTACCTTCCTGCAAGAATGCAGGTGATGATTATCAGTTAGTGCCGCGATAAATTTATCCGTCCCGTATTGATCGGCAAATCGGTGTAAACAGAGATAGTAGTTTCTGTTTCTTATTTCTTTTCTCGCCACCCCTACGTCACATCTCACACTCCTTATCGGACTGGCAAATAACGTGAAGTGGCTGTCGAAGCGCAGCGTGTCGTTTCGCAGTAGCGTTAAGCTGTGAATATTGCAGTCGGTCAGTGAAAGTCATATCTTTTTAATTCGTTCCAGTTCTTCGGGTTTATATACGCTGTTCGCAGCGATTGATGCTGGAATTCTGCTGTCATTCAGAATCACCGAAATTTCACGTTTTTTAATAGCTCGCTGTCAAGAGTGGGGTGTCTGCCTGGGTATCTGCTCGTAAGTCTTCGAAGAGCGTCTTCCTTTGGCTTCTTGGAGACTTTCTGCTTTCCTACCATCACCTGAGATAGTGAACGCTTTCACATCATCTGCAAAGGTGTCGATGATGACATTTTGATTCGGGTTTAAGACACAGGGAGGTCCATCATGTAATGAATAAACAGTAGCGGAGACAGTACACCCCCTTTGAGGAACACCAGAGTAGCAATGACATCTATGAGAAAATGTTCCTTTGTAATTTACCAGAAAGGATCGATTCCGAAGATATGATTCTAGCCAATCAAGAAGGATGCCTCTGACGCCTACACATTCAGGCCTTTTGATAAGCTTATCGTGGGCAACTGTGTCGAATGCTTTGCTCAAGTCGAAGTAGATAATATCAACATTTTTTGAACAACTGGGAGCTTCAACCCACTTGTGAGCACATTCCAGGAGTTGTGGGCAAGTGAACTATCTTTTAACAAAGCCAAATTCTTCACCAGGTATCAGGTTAAACATCTCAAACCACTCTAGGAAGCTTGTTTTTAAGAACTTCTCCTTTACGTTACATGGCATAAGAGTTATACTGATCGGTCTGAATTCTTGCGGGACCGAAGCATTGGGTTTTAAAGGTATTGCAGTGACAATCGACTCTTTCCAATACAAGGGAACCTCTCCAGAGAGTTACGGTATGTTGAGGATGTGGCAGACAGGGTGTGCGAGTTTCTTTTTTTTGCGAGCATCTTATAAAATATTGCGGGAATTCCATCAGACGGCAACGTTGAGGAAGACTTTGCGCGGCGTAGGTGCTTCTCACTTCTCAGAGGGTGTAATAGTAGGCAGGGCGCAATCGACTTCCACTAGTGCCGTTAAACTAATATCTGTATCTCTGGAAGAAATGAAAACGCCTGCGAAATAATTTGCCAGGGCATTGGCCATATCCGACAGTAGTCGAAACATTACCCAGTGGATCTTGCCGACGTGAAGCATTATTTTTCCTACCCAACCTTCTGCTGATGAAGGAAAAAAGACTTCATATTACGACAACTGGTAAGTTTTCTTCCTTATAGTCTAGGCAGCGCCTGAGATGATATGTGAAATCATTCGTTTACTTTCCTGGACTCTGAAGATGTCAACGGATTGTCGAAAGTATAAAACCACTCGCCTCACACCGTTCCGCGTCACCTTCCGCGGCCTAGCTCGACGACAGTGGGTAAGTCGTGACACAGCTATTTTGTTCACGCTCTGAGTCACTAGTTGCTCTCCACTGTCGGAGCTTCCAGCGGGCTCCTCACACCAGTGTAGTTGGCGGGAGACTTTTTGGCCAGTCCTGGGGTTCTTCCAGCACGTCACTGCCAAGTGGCCTCTCTTCCCGCATACATTGCAGTATTCCTTCTCCTTCCTAAAACACTTACAACCGGCATGGCCAAGCGTTCCGCAAACCCTGCATCTCATACCTTTCCGATATGGGCCCCTGCTCGGCCTTCCCTTTTGATCCTCCGCGCCCTGGCCTCTGACGGTTACGCTCATCTTTCCGTGTTCTTACCTGAGCCACTCCCACCGGCTGAACTTGCTGCGGGCCTTCCGTAAGGTGTGGAGCATTCACTCCTACACGTTCGAAAGCTTCCGCCTGCTCGAGCGCTTCCTTCGAGGATAGCTGTTCCTTCTCTAAAAGGCGCTTCCTCGTTTCTATAGAAAGTAACCTACCGATGAAGACCATCGTCACTACTGCACCCGATGATCCTTGATTTCTTCGAAACAATACGTATTCGCCGCTTTCTGGAGCTCCGCGTAATACTCATGCAGCGACTGTCCTTGCTTCTGTGTCTTCGACATTAGCCCGAATCGTTCTGCCAATACCAGCTTTTTCGGCTGGTAATGTTGTTCCATCGCTGCCCGTAGATCCTTCAATGGTACTTCCTCCAATTCGCGTCCCTGCGAGAGTGACTCCAGCAACTCGTAATTCGAGTTACCCACTTCCTGCAGAAATATAAGCCGCTTATCCCCCTCTTCTGTTACTTTCCTCAACACGAGGAAGTTGGCGAACAGCTTCCACCAGGTCCGCCACGATGTCCCCGGGACATAAGGCCTCGGGGCTCGACCTCGGTACACCTCGGTACTGGGTTCTCCCATCGTGGCTCTTCCGGTGGCGCTGTTGCCGGTTTCCATCTTCACTCCTTGTGCTGATCCTTGTCCTTGGCCTCGTCCTTGTGCTGCTTCCATCGCGTTCAGCTGATCGCCACTTCGTGTGTGTGAACAGGAGACGAGGGGGAGAATGATTTATTGCTCACAGTAAGCTCGCGCGAGCAGCGGAGCGTGCCTTCGTCTGCTTCTGTTGAACAACTACCAATTAAGATTAATTTTATCTGTAATTTACCCGACATAAGTAACAAGTGAGTGAATAGTGAGTTACACGATCGAATAATACAAGTGTACAATGGAAATAACAATAAGACCAATGAGGACAAAGAGTAATGAGGCAAGTCATGCACAAAAGCAGAACATCCCAAGGGGATCTGATGTTGGTCGCCAGGGCTTCGCCCTCGAGGCTGACGCGGGATGGTAGAAGCCGCTCGCCGGTTGAGTAACACGTCGACTCGTCGTTGTCGTCCTCTTGCTCCGCGCTCCGCCCTGAAATTCCTTCATGAGTCATCAGGGAACATCAACATATGATCGCCGCGCTGGTACAGCGACAGCGCGGCTTACACCTCCCCCCCTTTACCCAAAGTCCGACCCGGACTTTTAGGTAAGCTACTACCGACTGAGAGAGTAAAGCAAAACGTCTTACCAAAAGGGATGTTTAATAGTTCTGGAAATAACTAGGTACTTGCGCCGCTGGGACGACTGCGCGGATAGAGTCCGCCCAACGTAACAGGGTGTTCCATACCGGTACCTGGCGGAGGGTATTGGCTTGGCCTATGATGAACTGGCCGTGTCGGGAGCGAGTCACTGCGACGTTCAGGCGTCGGTAGTCGTTGATGAACTCGCCCTCTGGATCCTGAGAAAATTTAGTCTTGGTGGTTAACAAAATTACCACATCCTTCTCGCGCCCCTGCACTGAGTCGACCGTCGTGAGTTCGAAGCCGAGATCGCCCATATCTTCCTTCACGAAGCGGTACTGTTCCCTGTAAAAGGCGATTAGGCATATGCTCTGTGCGGGGATTCCTACTCCAATCAGGCGGTCTACAAGATGGCGACAGATGATGGCTTCGTCCTCATTATATAGTGACTTACTGGGGGCTCGAACTGCTGTACCCGTTGCGTCTATGAACATGAAGGGAATGTTGGGTGAGGGGAAACGCATTCTGGAGAGGAGCAGGAGGCGTGCCTGTGCGATGGTGCCACTTACCAAAGTTCCCTCATAAGCGACGACGTTTGGGAGTTCTATGAGCGCGGGATGGGATCTAAAGGTAGTAACCAAAGGAGCTACGGGGACCACCGGGGACGCCAGGAGGAGGCTCATGACGCTGCGTGCGCCATGAAGAGCGGGGTTCGAGTTCGGCGGGTACTTGACATGCGGAGCCAGCTGGTGGATGTCGCCGATATAGACGTGGCGCGCATGAGACAAGCGCCCGGCAATGGTCAGGAGGGCGGGTTCCGGTATTTGGGATGCCTCATCACCTATGACGGTAATAAAAGATGAGATGTAAGATTTGAAGATACCGGAGCGGGATGTCGAATTAAGTAGGGAAGAGGTGGTCATACACAAAACAGAAGGACGATTTACCGCGAATAATATTTTGACCATACGCTTGAGTGTGCGGGATACGTATTGTTCCGCTACTTCATATTCGTCCCTCTCATCGTCCGTCATTCCGGGGATTGCATCGGGATTGCCAATGTAATTCTCAACTAGGGAACGATACCGTTTGAAACGACGGCAGACCTCCAAATCCTCTCGCGACAGCTGGTGCCTGAACCTATCACCTAGTGTAAGGAGGACCTTACTGAGATCCACCGGCGTTGGGGTAAGATTATCTGCCGCAGCCGTGTCTGAGATGTGGCGAACCACTTGCATATCGGGAAAGTCCTCCAATGATAACAGCGTTTCCGTAAACTGAGCTACCGCCGCGTTTGTTGACGTCGTGACGATGACGGTAGTCGATGGAGTTCTAGCCGAAAGTGCCGCTATAAGAGATCCCACTAGTGTCTTGCCGGTGCCAAACGCGGCTTGGATTGCTACGAGCGGAATGCGACTTGCGCCTACTCGGATGGCGTCTCGCTGGTCGGGGGTCAATGTCAGAGTACGTTGATTGACTCTGAATGAGCGAGCCTCCTGCGATGGGGGTGGAAGGGAGCGGAGGTATTCCTGCTCGCTGGCGCCTGCCTCTTGATTGGAATAAAGGATGTTAATAACCTGGTCACCCATGGAGTATGGATTAAGGCCTGCGAAGATATCCAGACGTGAAACCAGGTCATAAATAGGGTTGGCTGCTACGTTAGGCCGGCTAAGGCGAATGCAAGCATCAAAGACGCGAGATCCGTCAGAGTCGCGGCCGTTCTGCCGAATCGCCCTGAGGAACGCGGTGTTGGCCCACGGGAACGCTTCAAGGGTAAGGTTGAGCAACTTGCGGTCGGAGAAGTTGACCAGGGTGACCACCTTAGCCCAAACCAAACTGGGAGAACCAACCACCCAAAGAACGACGTGTCGACCGGGGGCCCATCCAGCTTCTGAGGCCATGTCGGTTAGACTAAATTGTATCCGTATCGGGTGCCAGAGGGGATAAACCAGTGTGACCTCCCGCAAATGAGTTCTACGATCGTCGCCGGCAGCCTGCGCAGGCTGCGTTGGAAATGCGGCCGAGCTTCCGTTTGGATCCCACAGGGTCTCGATGGAAGTTATCGAAGCGCTGGAGTCGATCAGCGCACCATTCGCGATCACTGTGCGGCAACAGGAAGACTCGAGTGGGGAGTATCCCTTCTTCCGGGTGCATCGAGAAGAACCGACGGACGGTGGCCGCCAGGTGGTCTCGCGCTTCCAACATGCTGGAGGCTCACAGAATCGCATGGCTGAGGACACGTTTACGCGGGAATATGCCCCCACAATGTCATACTGGTGCAGACGTCTGAGGTTAAAATTGCAAAGTGCTGGAGTTACCGTGACTGCATCCGGCGAACCCTCAAACACTGCCCGAGTCTGTGTAACGTGATTGTTCCGGGTAGTGAGGGAAAGGATTATGCCATAGACAGGATCGGGGCGGTTGGTAACGGTCACGAACGCGTTGTGGGCCGCTCTGAAAAAGAAGGAGGCCGTTGTTTCGAGGGCCGTGGTGCGAGGTATGGAAGCCTTTTTAAGGGTGTCCTCTGGGGATTCGAATGCCTGGGGTGTCGGTTTGACGTCATATACCCAGACAAAATCCTTAACCGAAACCAGGGACCTATTGAAACCACGACAGCCTGCTTCGATGTCAATACCGAATCTGTCGAGGAGAATACAGTGGAGGTCGCGTCTGTCCGGACCCATGATGAAAAAGTCCTTTGCTTCCAGTACAAGGCCAGACCCGTAACCTGTGGAGACCACCTGATATAAAACCGGGTGGATGGAATTGAAGGTACGCGGCTTCGTGATGTACTGGTGGGGTCGATTGAGGTCTGCGTGGAGGAACGCAACGTCTACCTCCTGATAAGTACCCGCCATCATCTGGTCGATAACCTGTTGGGACTGCTCACGGAAGCGGACAGTGTCGTCTAAGTGCGGCAATTCAATAAAGGGGATTGATGCTGGCAACTTATTCTCCCTGAAAACTACCTGCGGAAATAGTGACTTATTGAAGCGCTTCGAGAGATATCCCGAGTCAGGCAGGTGGCGGTACAAGTTCACATCAAGATCCGTGGTGACCGTAGGTGGATTCAGGTGAAGGTGGTGAAGCGGGCGAGGATTTACGAACTGCGCCCACGGATGGTTGTTAATCCAAGGGTGGGTGAAACTTTCTGGGGTCTCCCGAGGTAACTGCGAGGTACCCACTTGAGGAAGGGACCCGGCAAGAACTACTGGCGCCGCGGGGGGTGCAACAGGTTGTGCCGCGGGAGGTGCTCGTGGGGCTCCACGTCCTCTTGAGGCGGTTCCACGCGTAGGTGGCCGCGAGGTGGCAGGTCGAGCTCTGGACGAGCCGGATGCGGGGGGTCGCGAGGAAGGAGCTCCGCGCGAGGGGGGAGCTCCGCGCGCAGATCCACGCGAGGAAGATGGCGCATCCGCTCGAACCGGTTGACGTCGGCTAGATCCGCTGCGACGTAGCTTAGGTGGTGGGGCTGGTGAATGGTCTCTTTCCTCTTTTACCTCCATAGGGTGTGGGGGAGAAAGGTGAGCTACTGCCAGCTGTTCCAGAGAGGCTGTCATGTTCGCGAGCGATGACTTACTAGGCTGCTGGGGCTGAGCTTTCCCGGCTGGCTGCTCTACGGTGGAGGAGCTAGACTGGCTGCTCGGAGTAGGTGAGCGACGCGAGCACGACTGTAAGGACACGGGAGCTCCCCATCGAACCTGTAAAACTGGGGGCTTCTGGTTCTGAGAGGATACCGTATCTTTGTCCTGAGAACTGGAACCTTGTGCCTCAGGCACCGGTTCGGATGTATCCATAGCGGAAACCTCCTCGGTCGAAACCTCGGAGAGAATATTTGTTGATTCGGCTGCTACGCAACCATTGTCTACTTCGTCGGTCGACTCGCGACGCGACGACATACTGTTGGTATCGTCCGCTACGCGGCTCAGCAATTAAAAAAAGGGTTGCCTTACCACGAAGAGAATATAGCACACCAGAAATAAAAAAAGACGTAAGAAGAACGTACAGCGATCGAACTGAAGTCGGGTCTTTATAATTACCTATAATATATACCGTAAACCGAATAACACAAGGAAAGTGAAAGTCGATTGCTATAGTAAAATCACATAAAAGGGAGTGGGATACGACGCGAGATATGTGTATATAGATGTAGCGTGCGACAAGGTATCACACTGAAGAAGACCACAAGCATTGATGAAAAGGCTAGAGAAGTAGAAAGGAATTGGAGGGAGACGGCTAATGAGAGGTTGATGAGGATAGGCTGTTTAAATGAGTGGAGTGGGCGTGTCATTCGAGGAAACTAGCAGATAAAGGCAATGGCATTTAAACATGTGCGAATGCCAGAGCGCCGAAAGAAAACAAAGAAGTCTGGCATGAGAAAGAAACTCATGGGAGACCGTAAACTCAACGATGGGACTTGAACGGAATTTAAATTTGTTACTGACCGTACCGGTCAAAGCGATGTACGTCTCAATCTGAAGCGTGTGTTATACGAATGCGAGGGTGCCGAAAGTGTGGGAGACGGAGACTGGTCTATGGTATGACCGTAGCCTTCCACGGAATTGTCGACGGCGTCTGCCGCAGTAAGAGCAAGTTGCTCTGTCTCCGGCAGCCATGGGGTAGTGA